TGAATAACAGTATCAACATATACGGTTACAAGTATTCCATGCATAAACGAAATTTCATAAGTCTGCAATGCCTCACCACAAATCAGAATTCGAAATCAAAATTGCCAATCTTCATAACCTTACATTATATACAATTATTCAACATTCAACCAAACAGAAACAGAGACCAAACAGCAGAACATCAACAAAATACTTCCAAGGACATACTTTATCAATTATTTCTTCGTCCTCTTGTAATTTTATAAAAATTGAGCCCCATAAGGGGTGAGAAAAATCTCAGTAGTGTGGCAGAAATCCAGCAATACAACAATGTTAACTTAGATGCAGAATTTCCAAAATTGTCACATCACCAATTAAATTCTGAACAGATACTAAAATGTAATCAGATTGCGAACCTAATTCCAGAATACTAATTAGAATGCGTATATAACGCCAGAATACTAATCAGAATGCGTATATAATGCCAGAATACTGTATGTCTATAGCACTACGGTGCACATACTAGCTAACACAGTGGAGATTCCATTTGGCCCAACATAGGGGAATTCCAACTGCGACCTATGCGAACTGAGCCACGGTTCCTTCTCTCTGGTACCTGAGGGATGCCTACATGATGCGTGCTCAAACATATGCTTACTTTTAACAAATATTTTGGTTTCCAAAACTGAATGCATAATGTTGTATGCTATGATATGTTTTGCTTCACACACACATGACAACATGCAGTTTTATGATGTTCATGTGCATGACAAAATATCAGAATCATAGAATCATAGTTTACATGACTATAACAACAAAGATTCGAAGCATAGTGTATATCCAAACCGAATTTCCAACAGTTCATGTTTCAAATCAAACTATCATTACCTTCAAACAGAATCAGAATGGAACACATGCGCAACAAATCAAAAATCCAAGCACTAAATTAACAGTCACAAAGGTCAATCCACCGAACACTTACCTCGGTGTGTCCAACTATTTTAACCAAGTGTATCACCAAAAATTCAGTCCACTCTCTTGGAATTATGCGCACCTATACAACGGTTACCAAGTCAGAATTTCCATCCTTGTTTCCTATGATTTACAAATAATTTACATGCCCCCTAGCCCTTGGATCTAATCGAGTTTTATGCTTCCAATGCTAATTATATTTTTGCCTTTAAATTTATCCTACCCATTGCTAGCAAGTAACAAAAAAATCCCAAGGACCTACACATGCAGGTTCGGTTTTGGCCAGCAACTAGGTGCACATAGTTAATTTATTTACATAACATTTTCTACAAAGCTTACGTGTGAGTGAACAATGTCTCTAGCAAGTTGTCCATATAGTTTTAACACATGCAAGGTTTAACCAAGTTGTATAATCCAAAGACCGGTCTAATAACATTAAGGGAGCTATTTTTCCAGCTTCCAAAATATCAGTTTCTACTTGCACGTACCAAATTCAAGGTTGTTCGAATGGACAAAATCTATGGAAGGAAATGACCAAAAGAAAACATTCTCCTAATCAAGCAAGTGAGGGCCGAATAGTGAGGGCAAAGGGTAGGAATGACAAGAACTATACCCCTAAAATACACATGCAATCGAACAGTGAGGTAAAGGGAAACTTGAGGTCCGAATTTTACCTTCCTTCAAGCATCCAAAGGTTAGCTATTCGGGTGGAGGGCAGCAACCTCACTCTCAAATGTTCCAAGAAGTCAAAACCAGCTGTATGCAATGGGATGAGCGACTCAATCAAGGCAGAACCATGTTCCAGCAAAAGGGAAAAAGCTTAATCAGAAACCGGTCCAAGTATGAACGAACAAGAAGGCAACGAAAAATTACCTCACCTCCTTACGGTTGCCCTTAGGCCGAATCAGTGAGAGAGAAGAAGTTGAAATGTTGAGCTTGGTCATAATCTCCTTTGATGTTGCTTTTCGGCCGAGCAAGGAAGGAGGGGAATGGATGTAGGATGGGGTTCCCATCTACATACAAGTGAGTATCCTCATCAAACCGAGGAGAGGAAGGATGAACAAGGAGGTAGGGAAAATATTACACCTCTTTGCATATAGGTACACGGCTGAACAAGGAATGGAAGGAAGAAGAAGGTGTTTAAGTGTTTGGTTTCCTTCATGTGTGCTCACCGTTTTGAGGGGGAATGGGGGCTGAGTGAGGTTCTTGAGTAGAGAGAATAAAATTAGCTTTGATGTTCCACAACTAGCGCGTAGGAGGAGAGAAAGTGATGCTGCTTAATCCTAATCTGAACCAAAAGCTAACAAATCAGATTACTTACCCTATTATGCGCACAAGTGTTGAGAGGTGATGAGGGAGAGGTAAGGTTGGAAATGTGTTTACTCCTTGGCCAATCAATGGCAAGTATGCAGATTTTGTTTTGGGATAAGCTAAGGATCATGAGTGGGAAATAGGGGTGGTAAACGAGCCAGGGGCCTTTGGCTCGGCTCGTAAAGGCCTGAGCTCGTTTAATAAAAACTCGTGTTGGAACCAGGCTTGGACTTGTATAAAAGCTCGTTTAATAAAAATGCCTCAGGCTCTAATTCAGAAGCTCGGCCTTAGATCCTCCCAGGCTAGCCTAGTATATAAATATTTATTTATACTTTTTATACTACTTGTAATAACTCTCTCTGATCAATTTATTTCACCCCATTTTATTGGTTTAACAGACTTTTTGAATGATTTTGTTCTATATTATGCTATTTGGATATATATTGAATTTACGTATATTTACTGAATTACTAGTGTTGTTCTATATTATCCTTCATCCTCCTTCACACAAACAAACCCACAAAAACTCATTCGTTCCACTTTGCACTGCTCGTTTGTGTCAATTTATTTTTTATTTTATTTATTTTATTTTTATTTTTGTTGGCATTTTTTTATAACGGGCTAAGATAATATAACTTGTTATCTACCTTCTCTCACTTTAATTTTATTTATTTATTGTAGACTTTGTAAATTATTGCTGCAAATTAGAAGCTAAGGTTTCTATCTGGAAATTGATTTTTTGTGAAATTCTGTTCTCTTATTTTTATTCTTTAACATGCTAACAGGCTAAGACAGGCTTCACACAGGCTTTTATTTTTTGTAAATAAACCAGGCCACAGGCCAATATTATATTCATAACAGGTAACAGGCTAAGGCCAGTCGGACACGTTTAAATACAGGCTTGGCCCGTTAAGATCAAAGCTCGGCTCGGCTCGGCCCGTTAACATCCCTAGTGGGAAAGATATAGGGCGCCTTAAACCCCATTTAAAAGACTTGGGCCGTGGATACCAAGGAAGAAATTGGACACAATAATTTACCTAAGCCATATTGTTTCATGTAGCTACGAAGTAGTAACTAGAGTTTTCATAAAGAGTACTTAAAAGTATTCTTATCCTACACATACTTAGATTTTTGATTCATGGCATGCATTCACAATCACCATGGCATTGTAAATAACTTCCTAATGGGTCACCTATTTCATGTGATATATTAATAATTATTATTTAATGTTCCCACTAGGTAGTAACTAGGATTTCTACCTATATTGTAATTAAACTCAATATTATCCATTTTTAACTAGTGTTTCGAATTCTTAAAATATATATATATATACTCACTTACAATTGCAATTAAACTAATTTTCCTAACTTAAATTAATTCCACCCTATATATACATTGAATTTGAATTCAAAGCATGCTTCCACATCCCTAATTACAATTTATATAAGTTCCTAATTATGCGGGATGTTACACTCTCCCCACCAAAATTTTGAAGTTTGTCCCCAAACTTCGTCTTACCATCCCGAAAACTGCTTAAGTCGAATGCCCAACACAATTTCATTAATGCAATATGTTCTACTACATCCAGATAGGCATCTATAAGGTCGTCGAACATTAATCCAGGTAATACAAACAGATTGTACTTCACATGTTCATCAGATATATATATATATATATATATATATATATATATATATATATATATATATATATAACAAAGTTTTACTCACATGGAGGAAATAAATTTTTATTTTTTTTTCTAATCTTAATCATAACAAAACAAATGTCTGGTTTCTTTTTAAACAAAATCAAAGATCTTATTGCCACAAATATGGAGTAAAACCGACATATGAGCTTACTAACAAGGAAATTCTAGCTATCAACAATTATAATGAAGCTCAGAGCTCTAGCACATAATTAGTTGGCAAGCTAGACAAATCCATTTACCCATACTTCTTGACTATATAATTTTTATACTTGATAGTTGGAAGAAAAGAAAGAGCCACCTAGGTTTCCACTTTCATGATCTCTTTTTAATACCCAAAAAAATCCTATTCTAGTGCCTAAATAAGGTATGAATTCGGTTCTATGCCTGCATACATCTGTAATTATCCATTAACGGCATTATTTATGTTCCTTGTTTCTTATGTGTGTCAATATCAATAACTTGTCATCCTCTTATTGATGTACCTGCTATACTAACTATACTGAAAAGGCACGTCACTAACTACAAGATGACTCTATAGTTTTATGCATAATTGGTTGAAAGCTAACTGTAACACCATCCCTTGTATGCATCCAAGAGAGTTGTTTGCTAAGCGGAATTAGAGTTTTTGACGTCATTACTTTTATACCGAAAAATCATTTTGAAGTTGCTAATTAAAACTTATAATTGAGATCGAGTCACTTACAAAAATCAGAGTGCACTTTCAAAATTTCTTAACTTGCTGAAAATATTATATTCCCGGCAGACGTTGTTGTCTTAAAAAATTCGTATAAAATCAAGATCAACGATCCACAAAAATATTCTTTGTAATATAGAAAGAGCACGTCTGGGACTTCGCGTGCACATAAAATATTAGCAAATTGGAGGTCGTTTGCCCCTCGAAACATAACTCGCAAAGTGCTCGCAAAACTGTTTAAAAATCAGCACTTACTGAACGTTAAGAAAATTTAGTTCGCAAAACGTTTTCAATTTTTTTTCTAAAATACTAAATAATCATCAAAGTCTTGAAACAACAATAAAATCATAGTTCCAACAATAATCCAAACTCCTCAAATTAATACAGTAATCCATCAAATAAAACAGCGACAACAACAAGTCCAAACAGCATAATTTAACAGCAAACATCCAAATAATCCATGGCCTCATATGCTTTTGCGTCCTCCTGCCATTTTATAAAAATAGCAGCCCCAAAGGGGTGAGAAAAATCCCAGTAGTGTGATAGCAAAACCAATGATGCAACAATATTAAACTAGGCACAAAATTATAAACAGTCACATCAATATTTCATTTTCCGTTAACATATAATAGTGCATATATAACGCCATCATTACGCTCATAGCACCTTCGTGCGCGTACTAGCATATCATTAGTGCGTATATAACGCCATCATTACGCTCATAGCACCGTCGTGCGCGTACATACACAGTGGATATTCCGTAATGGCTCCCTCAAAGGTGAATTCCAACTGTGGCCTATGCGGACGGAAGCCAAGTGTCCCATACCCTGGTACTGAAGGGATGCCTATATGATGTGTGCTCTATCGTAAGCATATTTATATAGATATTATTATTAGCCAATGCAACATGAAATTTATGCACGTATGCCATGCTATGCTTTCACACACACAAAAGAAAAGGGATGCATGATGAATATGCATGACTAGATCATCATCATAATACCATATCTTTCATGTACTTTCCGTACCAAGCTGCCACATAACAGTTACTTCTCATTCATGATTTTCCATCTTGTCACATTCATAGGCAGCATATATATATATATAGCATATAACAGCACATTAATCCAAGGCACATGTGAGCAACAATTCACAATTATATACACTAGCTAATAGTCACATTAGGTAATACCACCAAACACTTACCTTGTGTCCACGCAATAATCAACCAAAACCAGCCCACACTTTAATAATTATGCGCACCTAATCAATGGTACAATAAGTCAGAATTTTATTCATACATTCCTATTATTTATAAGAAATTCCATTGCCTCTTTATTGTTACATGACATTCGATTTACCATGCTTCTTGTGCTCACCAAGTTCTGCCTTCCCATAAATTAATAACATATTACCATACTAAAATCCTGAGTCCCCAACACATACCAATTCGGTTTTCATGATTATTTTACTGAACGAATTTCTGACTTCTTGTAAATTTAGTAGCTCATTACAATGATGAAATCCACACTTACAGGTTCGACTTCCTTAGCATAAAAACATTTAGGATTTTATTTAAATAGCCAACTCCACTAAACCTAGGGTACGGTAAAGGGGCCTAGAGCTTGTTGTCCCTAAATTTCCTAACTCCAACAGATTCGGGTTCTTACCTTGTTCCTTTCCAAGTAATATACTGACCTCGCAATAAATTTATAACGTTTAATAATGACTAATCCTAAGGCTACCAATCCCAAAACAGAATTGGTTTAAGCATACAGAAAATTCTCAAGGTTTCAATCATACAATTTTTGCTTCCCCACTCCTAAGGTGCGAAAAAGGAAGCCTATACATCATGTTGTTTATTTAATTTAAATGAAACTTAGTACATGTCAAGGTTCACAAAAACAGAATTTATTCCATTATTATCAACGAAGGATCCAAAGTTTCATTGGCATTCATATTCGGTTTCTTGATGTTATTAACTAGTGACTTAACATTTTCAATTACATATTCCTCTCTTCAAAGCTAGGTGTGGCAAGGAGACCATTAAACATACGGCCCAAACAGGTTTAACACAAGTAAGTTTACATTACCATTTGACCAAAGAAACGGTCCTAAGGCACTAGAAGACTCTCTTCCAAATTCATAATTTGTTTTGTGATTGCGTGCCTCACAACAGTTATAAAGTCCTCAAACCAGGCAGAACAACGGAGGATAATAAAAGGTCCTCCTATCATACCTTAAAACCGAAACAGCAAGGGTGAGTAGGGGTGTTGATTTGTTATTTTTGATTCACAGCCTCTGCCATGTACCCAAACGATTGACTAATAGCTTAGAGATACAGCCACCAAAGATTTATCAATTATTCTCACTCGAACTAGGCAAGAATTCGAGCTCCAATCATCTCCTTCTTAATGGGGTTGTGCGCACTAAGGGAGGGAATAGGGGATGAAAACTCAAGTTCAATCTGCATGTAAATGTACCTACATTAAAACCGAATAGAGAGTGGAAGAGACAAGGAGGTGAGGGAACACAATACCTCCTTGTGCGTTGCTGCTCAGCTGGACAAAGAAGAATAGGAAAGAGACGTATGTTAAAGTGATGAGGTCTTCCTCTTTGGCTTAAGATATTGGAACGAAGATGAAGGGAAGATGGTACAGAATTTTGCCTTGATGTTCTTCCTTTGGAGGTTTACGATTCTGGTACGGAGGGGAGGTAAGATGGAGTTTTCTGATCTTAGGTCTCTTCCTTAGTGGGTTGGCGGTATAGAGATGATGAGGGAAATAGGGTATCGTGTGGTAGAATTCTGAAGGAAATTGACCAGCAAGATAACCCATGAGGCTCCTTCTATGCGTACAGGTGGTGTAGAATGGGGTGGGATTCTTGCCCAATTAAAATGCATGCAAACTGCTCCAAGTTTCCCATTGGTTGCCTGCTGAAAAGCTAAGTGGTTTGAGCAAGTCATCAGAATTTTGCTATGTCCTAGGCGCACATGAGGCTGAATAAGGAGATAGAGGTTGCCATGTGTTGATTCCTTGCCAATCCATGGCTGCCTCGTGGAATGTTTAGGATGAGGTTAAGATAAATACAAGGTTTAGGGCTGAACCAAGGCCCTCCCAAGGCATATTGGCCGCGGACCTACTCATGGGATAGTCCAAAATTACCTAAGTCCAAAGGTTAAACTTACATGTGACCAGCCCACTAATTCATTAGTTTCCCATGTCTTTTGAATATTATTAGACATTCTATATATTATAATAAAATTATTCAAATCAAATTCAATTTACTATAAGTTTCTCAAGCCTACATAGGTACTCTCCTATCATAGTAATTTAAATAACTCTCTAACTTACTTTAATTCCACCCTAGGGAAAATAGTCATATAATTCGCAAGTCACCCATGCATTATTATTTCATGTACCCTCCAATTACTAACTATGGTTTTATTCTTTGTAATAAAATTAATCACATACTTTTAATGAGTACTCATATAATTCTAAGTAGTATTATGCTTTCTAAATGTTATAAATAAATTATTCCTATACTTATAACTAGGATTTCACATGCCTAAAATAGGTACTTGTCTTCCCTGATAATACCAACCCTTTCCTAATTTAATTTAACTCCCTTCAAAAGCAAACATTTATATGATTCGAAGACAGGTACTCTGCCCCATTCCTAATTGTAATTTAAATAAGTTCCTAATTGGGCGAGATGTTACACTAACAATTTAGTTTACAAGGTTACTTCGCCAATGATAACACAACAAAGTTTCATGATTCCGAATTAGATAGTTTAAACAACTAGACAACGCCTGCCTATTACTTGCGCAAACAGAGTGCTAATTAACTAGGACCTTCAATTACAATTATTTTATCTTTGCAGTTTGCATGTTACAAGTTAGAATTTCAACCACTTCCTACTTACTCCTTACGTATGATAAAAATTCAACTCAATAAACACATCACATTTTTTGCCTTATATTCAGACTTCACAACTAATTACCTTACTTGATAAACATCACAAACAGAAATCCACAACTCAGTAGTCTATAGAGAATCGAGCAAGTAAAACAGAACACATCATATTCCAAATTACAACTTAGAAAAGTCTTCCTGGAATTATAAAACTTCACTACCGAGAATTTAATTAAGCCTTCCATCAATGCTCTTATTTTCTAAGGACCTTAGTCCATCACCTTAGGGGGGAAATTTAAAGTACCAATCAAGTGAGTGGTATAGTATTTGTTACGGTTTTTCTGAAAAGAAAAAAAAATTACATGGATGGGTAATGTTTTCACCAGGCACGCATGGGTTAGGAGCCACCTCTAATTAAGCTTGAAGTACCTGATTAAGGTAAGAGAAAAGAGAGACATATAATGAAAGTGGTGTGTTTATAAACTCTATAGAGGAAGCCAAATTATATAGACAAAAGTAAGGGATACAGAGATTCTGATGTACTACTCCTAATTGCCATAATTACATGAGATGTTTAGCTCATTCACTTATTCTATAGATACTGTCTAAATACTTTCCTGGAGTCAAGTGCCACACAGTCTATTCTTCTAAACGTACGCAACAAAAACACGGATACTAACCAGTCATGTATACAGCTAATCAATTCTATCATGCTTTTCATACATATCATGTCAAGTGATACCTCTCATATAGTTCGTCAAAACACCCATATGAGGAAACTTCCTCGAGCTTTCCGCTGTCCTAGGTACCTCGGATGTAGTTGACTCCACTGATCAGAGGATCCATTAACCATGATATGAACTTTCCAATCATTGATAAACATTACAATTTCGAAACAGCTACCAATCGTAATCTACCAAAATAGACCATGCTTTCATAATTCAAGTTCACAATAATCACATCCAAAATCCTAGTTGCAGTTAAATTTCCATTAAGATTCCAATTACATCTACTACTCCTTTTAAGTTTACATACTATTTAATTGTCACTACAGCCACTAACAAAACCATACCCTTTACGTCAAATTCGGTCCAGATAGTCTTCCTAACATGTACCACACGTTAATTCCAGTTTTCAACATAAAAGAGAGTGCATAAAGTCAAGTACTCAAAACAAACAAACATAACACACCAGGTTCCCCAAATAGCAGTGTCTCCACGTAGTAAATAGATTATAACAGAACCCACACATTCAGATTACAAAACAAATTGAATTTCTTGAGCACAGTACTCAAACTGGATCTAACCAGGCGTCACTACTATGGGGTTTACATCCTAGTCGGTTAAAATAAATCAACCTATTTATAAACTCAATTTCTCATATATATATCCAACAACTCAGTTTCGAATACTTCTTTTCCCTTGCTATACCTGACAAACTGATACCACAACAAAATATTTGCATAAATTCATTTTATCAAACAGGAAACAACTCACTCTTAATACATAGTCATACACCATTTCGTCTTAAAAGATTGTTCATTACTACCTTCAATCATATGGTACTACAAAATATAACTTACTTATTCCAAATATTCAAGTCATTTCCTAGATTAACTTCCCACCTATTTTTCATGCATAGGTACTAAGACCACCAACCCAAAAATTTTCATTAATTTAATCTCGGTGCTTGACAATTTGACACCATCGTGTTACCGAAGAATGTGTTGGCCAGACCCACTCCTGGTAACAGCTGAGATATCATTTCATCAAACGCTGGGAGTCGTCAAAATTCCAGACTTCATTATTTATTCGTCGTTCAGGCATCAATCAATCACAATCTATCACACGTCAGACATCTCTCTTGAGGAGGTTTTCGTGCATCGTTCATACGGTTTCTCCTTTCGTAATGCCATACAACGAGTGGATCCTACTCATTGCATGGCATACACGACAGTAGACTCAAGGTTGATACACGATTCCCACTTCAAGACAGAATTTCAACTAACCAACGCATACAATTATATAATTCAAACTTTTCAATTCAGATGCAATACAGTACAACCAGAAAGCTCTTACGCAGTTTGGCAACAGCAAATAGTTCAAGTCAAGTATTTCAATGCAATCTATGTACATTATAACCAAACAGGACACCTACTAAAACAGTGCACAGTATCCAACAAACCGAACAACACTCAATAACACAAACAACAAGACAAGTCAATCTAATTGAGTAGGTCAAACTCGATTACTTAACTGTACTACACGAATCACTGTATAAACCGACCTCTAAACAGCAAGTCGATAGCAAGTTAAACCCATACCATACAACCTAATACATCAGAAAACCAGACAATACATCATACAGTCATCAAGAATTAAAACTGCCCTGAGTAGTTTGATTTTAAACTATTCTGAGTAAGAAATACCACAAGATGATTTCAATATATCTCAGTACAACTCTAACATTTTAATTATGCTAATTTCAACAATTTAAAAGAACATTTCCACACATGCCGATCCTAATTCGAACACCCAGCAATTCACTTCTACATACAGCATCCAGAACCCATTCAGCAGTCATATTCAAACAGCAAACAATTCAGAAAACATATACAAATAGTAAACACTTCATCAAATACAAACACCATGAATCAAAACTACTTTGATACCATTTAGTGTGACACCCTCCCCTGACTGCATCCAAGGAAGGAGTCTGCTAAATCTTATTAGAGTCGCAACGTTACGTATTATAATCTGAAAATGGACTTTTAAGTCACAATTAAAAGCTTGTATTGAAATCGGGTTTCATAAAAAAAATGAAGAGTTTCATAAAACGTTGATGCTGAAACAGTAAACTTTTCCATGTAAGACAGTCTGTCGTGCAAAAATCATTTAAAATTGAACTTACAAGCTTTCAAAAAATTTCTTTGACACGAAGAAAGTAGACACCTGGGGCTTCACGTACATATAAAATATAATTCATTCGGAGTTCTGTAGCCCCAGAAACTGAACTCGCAAGATACAAGTAAAATCAGTGCAATTTTTCCAAAAACCTACCTGACTTGCAAGAATTATAAAAAATCGGGCTCACAAGCTTCTGACATAAAATTTATATAATTTGAAAATAGACATATGGGGCTTTACGTGCATATAAATTATATCCCAATCGAAGGTCTGTAGCCTCAGAAACCGAACTCGCAAGATGCATGAAAATCAGTGTCCAATTCCGAATTTAATACTTGCCGTATTTATTTTAAACATTCATGCCAAAATCCAATTGAACTCAGGTTGAGGCTAACAAAATTCTACCATGCAGAACCTGAATTTTCATTAACCATTAATCCATAATGTCTTACCTACTCTTAGCTGATTAATTCATACTTCACACTTAGAAAACAAAACTAGCTTAAGCTGAATTTGTGAATAACAGTAACAACATATACGGTTACAAGTATTCCATGCATAAACGAAATTTCATAAGTACGCAATGCCTCACCACAAATCAGAATTCGAAATCAAAATTGTCAATCTTCATAACCTTACATTATATACAATTATTCAGCATTCAACCAAACAGAAACAGAGACCAAACAACAGAAATTCCCAAACAGCATAACATCAACAAAATACTTCCAAGGACATACTTTATCAATTATTTCTTCGTCCTCCTGCAATTTTATAAAAAATGAGCCCCAGAAGGGGTGAGAAAAATACCAGTAGTGTGGCAGAAATCCAGCAATGCAACAATGTTAACTTAGATGTAGAATTTTCAAAATTGTCACATCATCAATTAAATTCCGAACAGATACTAAAATGTAATTAGAGTGCGAACCTAACGCCAGAATACTAATCAGAATGCGTATATAACGCCAGAATACTGTATGTTCATAGCACTACGGTGCACATACTAGCTAACATAGCGGAGATTCCATTTGGCCCAACAGAGGGGAATTCCAACTGCGACCTATGCGAACTGAGCCACGGTTCCTTCTCCCTGGTACCTGAGGGATGCCAACATGAT